GCAAAACTACTCAGCTACGGAGCGCGAGTGCTTGGCGGTCGTGTGAGCCATCCAAAAATTTCGCCCATACATAGAAGCCTACCCGTTCAGGGTGGTAACTGACCACAATAGCCTGAAATGGTTATACAACCTGAAGAACCCGATTGGACGTCTCGCCCGATGGGCCATACTTTCGAAATCGAATACCGAAAGGGGGCAGACAATGTGTTGCCCGACGCCTTATCACGCGCTTTTGAGCCCACGAAGGCAGAGGTTGGCGCAATGGACCAACCGAAGTCAAGGGACAGCGCCTGGTACACGGATCAATTCCGACGCGTCGAGAGCCAACCAGAGAGATACCCGAATTGGAAGGTCGTCGGCCGGGTGATGTATCACCGAAAGCCGAGCTACGATCACCAAGGAGGAGACGAATATGGCGACGAATGGAAACTCGTCGTGCCCCCGGACGAACGCAAAGCGGTGTTGTTCGAAAATCATGACCTAGAGACGGCAGGACACTTGGGACGCGAGAAGACCTTCGCCCGCGTTGCCCAGTCCTATTACTGGCCGGGAATGTACACGGATGTGAAGGGATACGTCCAAAAGTGCCAGGTCTGCCAACAGTGCAAGGTCGAGCAGCGACCGCCGCGCGGGCTCATGCAGGACCGAACATGGTCTATGCCTTGGCAAGTGGTCGCGGGCGACATCGCCGGACCCTTTACGAAGAGTCCACGAGGGCACGAATACGTCCTGGTATTCATCGACGTATTCACATGATGGGTCGAGTGTATACCCATACGTAGTGCTAACGGCAAGACGATAGTGAAGGAACTTCGGGAACGAGTAATTCTACGTTTCGGCACGCCAAAGATCTTCTTGTCCGACAACGGCACCGAGTTCCGCAATCAGTTGGTGGACGGGTACCTAAGAGATCAGGGGATAAAACGGACCTTCACCCCAACCTATACCCCGGAGGCTAACCCTACGGAAAGGGTTAACCGTACCTTGAAGACGATGATAACGTCGTATCTGCAGGGGAATCATAGGGAATGGGACCGAGCGCTACCCGAACTCATGTTCGCGTTGAATACGGCCGACCATAGTTCCACCGGGGTTAGTCCGGCCATGCTCAATTACGGCAGACAACCGGGAGCCCCGAATACCCTTCGGAAACGGATGGACGAGCTCGCCGCGCAAGAGGAGAGTTTGCTTCGAATCGGGCAATGGAACGAGCACATGCAGAATAGCCGTTCCGCCATTCAGCAAGCTCACGAGAGCGCCTCGGAGCCCTGAGGCAGTCCAAGTACTACAACGCCAAGCATAGGGACCACAGGTTTAAAGAAGGTGATTGGGTGTGGAAAAAGAATCGCGTACTGTCCTGCGCGGCGCAGGGCATTTCCGCGAAACTAGCACCCAAATTCATAGGCCCGTTTATCGTCACGAAGGTACTCGGTGCCAACTCGTATCGCCTCGCCAACCAACAGGAGAAGGTCACGGAGCTAATACACGCCAAGGACCTCAAACCCTACTACGGGCGAGACGACGATATACAGGAAAAGGGGACCCGACCACGAGATGACGACGAGACCTCTACCACCGAGGGAACCAAGGCGATAAGCGTCCCGCCCAACGCGAGCGATACATCGATACACGGAAACGGGAGCGCCGACACTACAGATAATACACTCCGAAATGACGACGCGACAACTCCGAAATCACCTCGCCGTACTCGCCGTAATCCCCCCAGCCGAGTCCCACTAAATACCTCTCCTACTAATACGGTGAAACGCTCACGAGGGAGACCTCGTAAGTGCACAGTATAACCATACAGATCACACAATACCGACAGACAACCCGAGCCCCTCCTCCTATCATCGGAAAAAGAAAGAGGGGCACACCACCGAAAGCGCCAACCGTAAATGCATGATACACGGCGAACGAAGGACCTGGGAGACCGACGCCAAGGACCCCACCTTCGAATCCGGCGACGAAGGTCCTGGGCAGCCGAACAGGCGCCCACCTTCGATATCCAATGATATTCAGGATACTAACTTGCTGGGTTATTACAGGATGCAGATCACACTCGAACAGTTCGAGCAAGCGGCAGCCGCTCTCATGGGCTTGGACTTGGGTCCAGCCGTTGAAGGGGTGGTGCATGCCGCCCTGCACCTTATAGGAGCCAAAAAGGAAGAGGAGGAGCGAGCACGGGTACGAGCTCACGAGAGCTCGTCCTCCGTGCTCATAGAAGAGCTCCCGGCGGAGGAGACCACCGCAACGCCGACGACAACACCCGGCATCACGCGCGACGACGCCGCGCCACCGTCGAGACACCCAGCGGGACCCATCCCCATGAAGGCCCCGACGGCATCCGTGGGCACCCAAACAGAAGAGGGTGCCACCGACGCGACCTGGCGTCCCAGGTTCACTAGCCAGACACCCCCGTCTGGCGAACGGACCTGGGAAGAAATCGTTGAGGGGTTGAGGGAAGTCGAGCAAGGCTGGACGACCCTCAACGCCCTCCAACGGGCTGTGTACGCCGAGTACGACGCGTACACGGCCGCGGGGCACCACCCAGACGATCTGGATCACTGGGACAAGGTGGTGCCCCGCCGTCGCCAGTTCGCGTCGGCACTTAGGGAGGTCCAGCAGCGCCACCGCCAGGCCATCGAGGGCCCGGCGAGTGGCAATCACACGAGCCTCCCTCAGCCTCCGATCGCCGGAGCCAGAACAACGGCTCCGGAAGCCAGGTCGGGGATCACATCGCACCAGGGCCCGCAAACGTGTGGGGTAATCCTGGTGGTGAATGTGGACGGGAGCCAGGGCGGTCAAGCAACGGGGCCCATCCACATCAATGTGGTTTTAGGCCCCGCGGGTGAGGACCCCACGGTTAAAAGACCGTTGTGGTCCGCCCCGAACCGTAGAAACGGGTTGCCTCTGACCCGCAGAGAGCGTAGTCTCCCACGGGGCACCCTTTCCCGCGCTCAGTGGGAAGGGTGCAACGTGTGCCACTACCCCGGGGTGACCCGCACGCGTGTCTGCCCACGCGTGCGACAACACGCCGTCCTGGTCCAAGAGAGGCTGGGGTGGGAGGCGCGCGGCCGACCCCCGTTGGACGAGCAGGGCGAAGAACTGCCACCGAGACCAGCTAGGTGATGAATCCCGGCCCCCGTGGGCAGGGCCACCGATATATCGCCCTGCTACACAATAAAACCACAAATTTAACATCACTTGGACTATAACCCTTTATTATCCTCCCTCTTCTCCTCCTCGGAAAGGGCAGCGCTAATGGAATTATCGTCAAGGACCCTATAGGTCCAGACTAGAAGGGGGCTGTGACGGTAAACGTCAAATTAGCGCTGATTATTTAGCTTAATCGCTGCTTGTGAGGGCAGTTCCTGCCGGGGGGACGAAATTCGTAACTAAGGAATTCGGCACGCCAGCAGACGGAACGCGCGCGATTGAATTCGAACCAGTGAAGCATTGACCATTGTTGTGTCCGCCCGCTTTTCGCTATCGCCACCGCCGATTCACGTGCCTTTGACAACTTCAACGCATCAAAACAGCAGCAGCCAGTTATCCCGGATTGTAGCCGCCAAGGTGCCATCCAGCTACCAGTTTGGGGCCAGGACGAGTGTGTGTGTGTGAGGTTTCGCCATCGAGGGCGAAACCATTCCGTGCGCGAATTCGCGACCCGCGAACTAGACAATAGAAACTGTTCCGCTCTGTGCGAGTTATTTGTGTCTTCTCCGATTGCCTGCAAATATAAGGTAAGCTGGCCAGCTTAATTTCGCGATCGCGATTGCATGATTAATAACTAATTTCCGATATCCGCAGCGTGCGTGTAACGACTCTAACAACAAAGAGCAGCGAGCGTCCCGGCAACACGTGTTGCCGACGAGCGAGCGTCAACGTAAACAGACGCGCGGGCCGACCTTCTGTAGATTATGAGGAATAATAAAAGATCTAGTTCGTATTACTAACAAGTGCTTTTCGATTCACTTATACCTCATAGCTTCCACTCACTTTCCTTAGATAGGAGGACATGCTGGTTGACTGACGCACGTTTCCACATGCTCCCCGATTTACGTACTGCGCATAATTAACTACGCGCGTCCTTTTAGTGTAATTGCGCGAATAGAATAATTAAACGGTCTTATCCCGTTACATTATATATAATATCAAAGCGCGTTTGACATCACGCGGACGTATGCACACACGCACACACACGTAACTATAATCAGATATTAATTCCAAGTAATAGTTGTTTTTTTCTAGTAGTATTTGCTTTTATTGTCTATTTTTTAACGTAAAAATGCTATGAATTTTTTGAACATTAATTAAATAATCTTGTTTTCTATAAATACTTGGTATATCGGAAATTCGTTTTTTTTTATTATCATTATTTCCGTTATTTCTAAATTTCGGTCTGTAACACTTTTCACGTAAGTTTATACACATTTGTAAGAAACTTTAAACAGTAGTTCAACATACAGACCGACAAATTATTAAACCAAAAAACCACCTCATATTCTTAAAAAATTAATTACAGTATACAATTCAATTATACGGAAAAATCTTCGCATAAATGTCTTGTAACAAACATTAATTTGATGAATGACTTATGATTCGCAACTAATGTATTTTGAAAATTCCATTTATCAGTTTATTTGATAGATTTTGCATCGAACTATTAAAAAATAATAATAACATGTTATATCTAACAATGGTTGATGAAACAAAGAATTACAAAAAGTATGAAAGTTAAAAAATTTTCCAAGTAACTGAAAGAACAATTTTATCGAATTGCAGTTAATTAAATACAATATTGATTCTATAACTTTAATATATTCATTCTGATATTGATATTACGTAGATTATATCAAACCATTGTTTTGATTTATATATTTGTAAAACATTCTATACCAATTCTAATTGATTATACATCTTTGGAAATTCATTCGAGGCATGTATTTACATTCAATTTAACATTTTTTATAAATTTAATATACTATTTCAGCATTAAAAATTTTATTTTCTAAATAATTTTAACTATACATATGGAAATAATATCTTTTTAATTCATCTTCAAAAGATTATAAAGTTTTCAAAGAAAATCAATTTAGCATCTATAATGTACAACCATTATGTAAATAAATTAAAAAAACTACATTATTTTGTTTTGTTTTAATGACTAATTGTTATGTTATATATGTTTCATCATTAAATCACTATGTCACAGCTCCATTTGTATCAGTAAACAATAAAAAGAAACTTGATGTTTTAATTAATCTATTCTAAATACGCACATTATGCAATGAAGTTCAAATATGTGGATACACTTAGATGAACTTGAGTTAAGCCATCTTAACATTGTCAAATTCTTATACTTATTCATAATGTATATAGGTATAATCTTTGTAAGACTTACTAACAAAATCAAAATTGCACTAAAACATTCAATGTCACATCACATCACATAATATTTCATTTTTTACCAAATTTCAAATCAGATTAAATTTTTTCAAAGCACTTAGAGCTTTTTCTTAATCCCCTGATTAGTTATTTAAAATAGTTATATTATAATGTACATTCGCCTAAATATTAAACAGGTATACTCAGTACTCATATCTGTATTGTAGACATATGCATCAGAGATAATATTTTTTTCTCATATAGTACAGTTTGCTTTTAAAAAATTATATTATTTTTTTGGCTTATTGATGAAATATCTAATTACATCTTAATAGCTCAAAAATATAACTTTTAATTATTTTTCCAAAGGTTATACTATTATTCAGATGATTATATTTTTTAACAAAAAAGCATGCTAAAGTATAAGTAATTAATAGCACTATTGACTTTGTTCCATTAACTTCTTGATGTTAACAATGGAAGTATAGACAATATTTTTGTATTTTAAATTAGCTAATATTATACAAAATATAAATCGCGCAAGTATTGATTGTGTTTCAAATTTGTGATAGCTTTATTTAAACAAATATTTCATCACAATAGTACTTCATATTCCACAAATCTTGTTTGCGTATAATGTATTAAACTTTTATTATTATTTTTTAATTTCTACTTTTCAAGTAATTGTTTCTGTTAAAAACTTTTTTTTATAGTAATAAGTTTTGATACCATGCATACTTTAAAAATTTATTATTTTTCTTTTTCATTTTTTTTAATTGTTAAGAACTAGAAAGAGAGAGAAAGAGAGAGAGAGAATCAATCGGAATTGTGAAGACAAATAATTTTTATAAGCACTAAATTAACATTAAGTAATAATTATCTTATGAATTTTCAGTCTAATGTTGAAGTTACAAACATTATAGAACTGCTGTAAATGTATGTACATCTATGTCTCAAATAAAGCTGCACTACTAAAAATGTATTACAATGATTGTATCAAACTTTCTTGACAAATATTTCTATTTTTGTTATTTGCATGATGTAACATAATTAGCCTGCACACTTACATCTTGGCTTTGACGATAAAAAAATTACTACCTTGTAAAATTTGAGAAATGTATTGTAAAAATTTAGTTGCTACTCCTTTTAGATGAGTCACTCATTTGGATATTATGTAGTTGGATGATAAGAATTGATGAGTGCTGCATCCACAGGTTCCATACAAGTAGGACAAGTGAGCGATCTCAGTAACCAATCATCAATACACACAGCATGATAAGTGTGCATGCAAGGTAAATAACGCACCTCTTCTCCAACTACCAACTCCATCATACAAATAACACACTCGCCTTTCTTGGTACCATCAAACTCTCTGGTAGGCAAATGCTGTATTAATCCAATGCGCTTAGCCATTCGTATTTGTTGCTCCTCGTCATTGATAATTGATCCACCTGATGATCCAAGACCAACTCCAATGCCAATGCCATGGTTCATACCCATTTCTGTAGACTGCAGATGATGCTCTCTAGTAGAAGCTGCTGGATAATAATTGCCTGCCATTTCCTGAAAGATATTTAGAAAGGAAGACTGAGAATCGCTTAAAATTTAAAAGAAAGATTAGGTGAGAGAAATGATGATAATGAGAAGCAGTGAATGTGAGACAATATTGTAAAGCTTACATTATAAGCGGGCAGACTGTGTTGTCTGAGGTTGTCTTGTGAAGAGGCTGCGGTAATGCCAAGACCTGCGGGGTCGGACCCGCTAGTGAGAAGATTGGCGTTATCCTGCTGGCCACCTCTGACGCAATTAAGGCAGTTGCCCATGGTGCTTTTCTAAATAAATGTGCTAAAAGCTCAAAGACGGGTCCAATAATGAAAATGAAATTGATTCAGTGTTCCTGAGGATAGCTGGCAGCACGCGAGTGGTCCCATCAGCTGGCAACAAACACAAATAAATAAGAAAGAGACCTTATTGTTGAGATCTTTGGGACATACTGTCAGCTGTCAGATTCAAGTTGTTGACGAATTGACATTCAACCAGCAACACAATAAAATTCCTCGGTCACCGTTTCTATTCAGCCAACAGCTGAGTGCTGAGACCTCTGTCTACCTGTCTCTCTCTTCCTTTCTGTCTATCTATCTTACGTTGTCTTGATGCTTTCTCGAGTAAGAACGACAGCAGCAACACACAAAGAACTGATTTGTTAGCGTTCTTGCGCGTATACATCACATACACACATTCAGGCTGTTTATAAATATAGATATCATGAAGTATTTAAGCTACATAGATATATACTTCTTCTTTCTTATGTATTTATTGGCTGTTGCTTATACTCACTGAATTGAGCACTAAGTTAAAATTCCAAACAGCCATCACTAGTTTCAGTTTCAGGTTACTAGATGGCGGTAGCTCTCTTAACTGAGACTCCGAAATTCCAAAACGCATGCGCCATGCATTGACCAAGGAGAATTCGTAGTTTGAAATTCAAGTAGTAAGAGTAGTTTAGGCCCCGGTTACATAGGTACTTACGGATGCGGACGGATACGGATGCGAATCGCAACTCTAGTAATATCACTAAAAATATCTAGTTTGATTATTTAGTACCAACTGAATTAAAGCGTTGAATTTCTTGCAATTACCCTAGGTGGTAATTGCGCCCACTTTTGTTGAATTTGTGTTTTTTGTTTGATTGATTACGCTAATTAAGAAGAGGTTTGAAATTTTAGGGAATTAAGGAATGGAATTAGGAATGATTTGGAAATAACTTGATACTTTCACTTATGGGAAAAAACCTCGAAAGTATAAAAAACCCATTTTATTGACGGAACGAACAATGAGATTAAGAACGAGAATACAAAGAACAAGAAACGATTAACCACGTGTATGCGAGCCGCGCGCGAACAATAGAAACTTCGACGCTATGGGAATTTCTGCACTCACACTCTCATACACGGATTTAGTAGCACCTTGTTGGCTTTTCAGCCACCCAATACGCCTACGCAGCCCGCAGGCGTTATTGTGAGACGCGATCTTTTTCCTTTTCGTTGTAAAGCGGTTCGCTTTCTCTTACCGTTGGTAAGTCTCTTACCACTTGCTGCTCACTCGTGTATTTCTCAACAACGACTGACTGCTCGCTGTCCCCCTCTTCGCCGGCAAGCGAAAAACCGGAAGCCTCAAGCTCACCCGGAAAGGCAGCGCCATCATGAACCTCGCTCGCATAACCATACGCGTACTCACACGCATACACACACATGTAACGTCTCAACGGAACACCAACACTACCGGTAGTGAGCAAAAGTGGCTGTTGTTTAAAACTGTAGCGCCGAACGTACCACATTTAATGTTCAAATGTCAGGTCTAAAATTTACTTTTCAAATTCTCATGAATATTGCTTATTGATGAGTATGCTAATGTAAAAAAAGTTTTTGGGATGATTAATACATATCATTTATATATATATATTTTTCTTCTCTTATATTCAAGTACTTTCATAAAATGAAGGCCTAATTCCACTAATTGTAGTTGAAAGTCTATCAATTCTCTATCATTTGCTATCTTATAAACTGCAATAATGGAAAGGTTAGATAGACGTTCATTAAATGTGGTACGTTCGGCGCTACAGTTTTAAACAACAGTCACTTTTGCTCACTACCGGTAGTGTTAGTACTAAATAATCTAACTAGATATTTTTAGTGATGTTACTAGAGTTGCGATTCGCGTCCGTATCTGTCCGCATCCGTATGTACGTACCTACGTGACCGGGGCCTTATGGTTAAGGTTGACAAATTTAATTTTATTGGTTAGATAGATTTGTGAACAGTGTAGGATTGTATAAAGAAAAGAGTGAGGATTGAAAGGAGATATTTGTTTAGTGATATAGGGTTTATTTTAAATTGAGAGCTTGCATTTGTTGAGAAATTCGGTTAATTTTCTCGATCTCTTGTTCCGTATCGCGACTGTCCGCGAGGAATGAAAACGACCATTTGACATCCATCAAAGCGAATTACACTTGATGTCTTTCATCTCATTTCGAATAGCCAAATATATACTTATACAGAGGGAGAAAGAGCGAGAGAGAGTGTAGAGAGCTCGCACTCTTCATCACCGTGTACTACCAAGCCACGCTAAATCAGAACAAGATAGAGAGTACACGCTCCCCACTTCCGCGCGCTTCCAAGCCACCCGGAGCTACAACTATAGAGAGCGCGCGCATTTCACCACCATACGTTCAGGCCTTATGCCAAATATGTAGCTGGTATACACACTAAGAACTGTACAAAGTACACGTCGCAGTGGTTCCAATGGTAAAGCGCTGGTCTGTGGATCTAGAAATCTCTGATTCGATTCTCTGATGCGTCCGTTCATTTTTTGAACAAAAATTGTAGTTCAGCCAAATACGTGTCGAAGCGTTCATTTTATATTCATTATTTGATTCAACAATAAAAATAATAATTAAAATGAAATCAATCTTTGTATAAATTAATTCTACTGATCAAAAACTACCAGAACGAGAGTACTAGGGATTCTTGTCCCTAGGGAATAATCTATTCTGAAGTATACATATATGTTTAAGCATATAGTCCTAAAGAGGGTCCCAAGAGTTCCTAAACCCTAGGGAAAATCCGTCCTGAAACATGCATTGCTTATCTATTCATCCTAATGACCGCTTGGATAATCAACTTCAATAATATTTAATCGAATAATTTTTAATAGTTTTCAAAATTTTTCTATTAGGTGTAATTCGCGGGAGGCGAACTTACACCGTATCTAGACCATTCTAACAGCCGAGCAGCCTTTGACTCGGGCGGCTCTCAGACTATCAGGCACCCCGGCCCGTTCGCGCGTCAATAATTTTACTCGCGTTCGGATTCTAACTTTCGTTTTCCCAATTATAAACTAATTAATTAGTTGTTTAACTACAACCGAGAAACATATGGATAAACTCTCGTATATCTGTATGTATAATTTTATTTTAATTATTATTACACCAAGATCATGGCCACGGTTTTCTGGGATGCGTATGGAATCATCTACATCGACTACTTGGAAAAGGGCCAGACGATCACTGGACAATATTATGCGTCATTATTAGGTTAGCTGAAAGAAAAAATCAGAGAAAAACGTCCTCACTTGAACGAAAAAAATACCTCTTTCTTCAAGACAATGCTCGAGTTCACACGTGTGCAGTTTGGATAGCAAAAATTAACGATTTAGAGTTCGAATTAATTGATCATCCACCATATTCGCCTGATTTGGCACCCAGTGACTTTTTCTTATTTCCTAACCTCAAAAAATGGCTTGCCGGACAACGATTCACATCGAATGAAGAAGTCATAGCCGAAACAAATTCCTATTTTGAGGGTTTTCAGAAATCATATTTTTCTGATAGCTTAAAAAAACTGGAAGGCCGTTTAATAAAATATATCGACCTTCAAGAAGTTTATGTTGAAAAATAAAAAAAATTACATACGTAAAACTTTTTTCCTTAGTTTTGTAAAGACTTATTGACCCCCCCCCCCCCCGTAATTAGAACTTAGACTCTAACAGACTCTTATAGAGATTAATGATTCCAATAATAAAATAGTGAAAGTTTTGCAGCCTACTTATTCAGACGCTTGCTACTAACTAAATTCCGGCGCATCGTTCTCACCGTTTGTCTATATATCTTTATTTCTCTCTCTCATTCCTCACACTCTATCTCTCTCTGGTGTTTCTGATTGTTTCATATTACTTAGTCTAAGACGCTGAGTGCAGCATGCTGTCGCAGCATACTGCAGCAGCATGCTCGGCATCTCCCACTTATTCCCGCCAAGGCGCGCATACGAGTGTAGAACTCCCGAAAGCGAGATTCCAATCAAACATACAATTACAAAGAAAATAAAATGGTCCGTCACGTAACATCCCTCCTCCCTCAGAATCTTTTCCGTCCTCGGTAACGTTTAGGCAGGGTCCAATCAGGGTAACATAGAAAGAGAACAGAAAGTAATATATATGGTCCACTTTATTTATGTATATAAACAAAAGAAAACGGAGAGAGAGAAAAAAATTTATGGTCCTGGCCTTGCCCTTGATCTGCGTAACGCAATTTGCCGGGTATCTTGTCTAGCCGTTAAATCTAGTCCTTCTAGGTCTTGTAAATAGGAAGTTTTATCTTGTAGTAAATCCTGGTCCTGAGATTTGTTCAAAGGATCTTGCAAAAATAGCGTTAATCGCTTTATGTCATCAAAAGGGGACGTTGTAATTATAGGTCCCTAGATTACATTCTTTTCAATGATGGTTCCAATCAGAGAGATATACGCCTCTTCCACAGAACCAATGGGTCCTTAGCACTTTTCGATTTTGATATCGACAAATGATTTTGTGTGCCTCCAGCTCGGTTTTAGTTACATAATGTTTGCAGGTACTGTGGTAAGTATATATAGACCTATTTTGAAGTTTTGCTGCTACATGGCAAGGTGGTGAATGTTTCACCTTGTAACGTTTGTCCAACTTCGACAATGCCAAGGTGACACTCCAACTATATACAGGGTGTCTCAAACCACCCATCCACCTCCCAAAGTGTGCCGAAAAAGTTTTTTTTTCAAAAATTGATAACGTAATTATATATAAATCGAGTACGCTCTATCGATTGGACGTAAAATCAACTTCCGGTTCCAATCGGAAATGGCCTATTCAGACCGGAAGTGCATGAAAATTCATTTTTTTAAATGGAACATGCATACTTTTTTTTCAGATTTAGATTCTACGGTAAAAAATACGAAAATTTCATAAAAAGAATTTTTTGATAAAAGTTGATATTTGACATCTCGTATCCACTAGTTCGTACTCAAGCTGCGAATATGCATGTTTTAACAATGGAATAGGATAATGTGGGTCCTCTAAGAGGTTTTCGGGGTCGCTGAGTCCGAATCCAAGGTGAGTTTGATCTTATTAGGTCATTTTGAGGTCAATTCAAGGTCATTTAAAGGTAAAACAAAAAAAATATTAGATTTATCAAGAATGAAGTACTTTTAAAATTTTAGCCTTAATATTACAAAAATATGAATCTCGTCGTTTTTTCATTTATTCTTGTTATTATTAATCTATGTATTTACATAACGTAGTTTTATGAAATTAGGAGAAATGAAATTCCAAAATAAATTAGTTTAGCGAGATAAAAATCTTTATTCTCAAAACATAACTGGTCAATCCGTTAAAGAGATGAGTTTCACAGATCTGTTCTA